TGATAGATTTACTGTGAAAATCCCTGAATTATTTCATTTGTGTATGACTTTGTCAATCACAGCTAGTGACTCAAACGTAAATGACGAGATTTTTTCTCATTAGCTGGTCTTATTGTCGATGTGATCTTGTCAGGATAGAGTAACTACTGAAATGGAGATAGGAGATGTAATTTTTCATGATTAGTATGAAAAGCATTCCTACCAAGAAACACAAAAGATTTTCATGATACCAATTCTAGCTTAAGTGTGATACAAATTACTTAAAATGTAATTGATAGCAACACACAATATTGTTGTTCCTTAGGCAGGGTGAGAAACAAAACTCTTATATAAGATCCAGAGTATGAGTCCTACTACACTCTAGAGCAGGTAGGTTGGTTTACTATGGAGAGGAGTTTCTTATTTTCTAGATACTTAACATTATTTTCTAGATACTTAACATCCAACCATACCATGAAAATCTTTCATGTCTATTCTCTGTGTGTAAAACGATTTGGTATCCTATGGGACCTACTGAAAACTATCTTCATTCTCAAGTTTGCCATAGCAAAATGTTTCTGTTCTTGCAGACTTAACATGGCCATCACTAGGGTCATTTCTGTGGGTTCAAGAACAAATGTAAGTGGATTGTCTATGTACACGATTAAAATGTGCATATAAATTCTGGGGAAAGGAAAGAACTCTGGGAAGGGACTTTTTTTTTATCCCTATAGTCACAAGAATTCAAGCTAGCATTGAAGCTGTAGGTACTCTGTGAGAGACGAGCTCTAAGACTAGCAGAATTCACAGTTGGGTGAGAATGTAGAAAGATTCACAGCAGCAACTTCTGAGAGGGGCTAAAGGCAGATTTCAGTAAGTCAAGTCTGACAGTGAGCTGCAAACCTCTTTAAAGTCAAGGCTCCTACTCACTCTGTGCCCTCAGGACTTTACAGTTAATAAATGTACAATCAGTACCTGAACAACTACTAAATAGACTATTGTAAGAAGCAGTCAATAATGCATTCATTAATGCAGACAGATAATAGAATGGAAGTAAGTTGTACTAAACAAGTGTAAGGTGACAAGTTGTATGCCTGCTTACCTTAGGGATTAGGTATCCAAAAGAAACAAGGATCTAGAAACAACTGCTGAGAAACATGTAGCTTTTCAATTAAACCAAAATGACATAACTAGAGGAGCAAAGAAAAGAAGAAACGTATGTCCAAGGGAAGAAGTGTCCATAGAGGCACTTTCTTCTTGATCAAAGGTCCTATCTCAACTTCTGTACAATCTTGTTTTTACATATTTACTCTCTGTGGTATTGCAAATAGCATAAAAATCTATTTTTTCCAGGTAAAATATGAAGCTTGTGTCTTCATACTAAGGAAAGCAAACAAGGAAAAAGCACATGTGGGGTTATGACAGTAATCTAAAGAATCATGTTTATTTACTGTTAGCTGATATTGTGTATGCATATAAACTTGCCTACCTATGGGTATGTGTGTTTGTTTCTGTCTGTCAAACAATCTTACAGAAAGCATCGGGGTAATGAATGAAATTAGTTTTTGCCTCTTTTTTAGCCTAATATTGCTGTATATGTTTTAGCATTGTATTCTATATGTGTGATTTTGTTTTATATAGGATGTCTGTACAAGTAAATTTTATGTGAATATTGATTTTAACTATTCATTAAAAATTTGCTTTTGGAGTTTGTGGGATGTTGTGTGAGATAATTTCTGAGAGTAAAAGTGCTGTTTGACATTACCTTTCTGTTTAGTAGTATATATGGGTAGAGTTAGGCCTACATATGTAGGATATTATTTTGGTTAGAGGTAAAGAAAGAAGGAAGTAACAGAAATAGGCAAAACATCTTTACATTTTCTCTTTGTTCACTTGAGTCTGTTCTCTAACACATGATCTAAGTCTACACCCTTCCAGGTAAATGTAGAGTGATTTGTTGCCTACATATTTAGCTATATTTTGTTTTTTCCTGTTGCAATGAAATACTTTTAAAAAATATCAGAACCAGTAGATTCCTAACTTCGTTTTCTCCATTTATGTAATGGTTTCTGATTGACAGATCATAATGAAGGCAAAAGATACACCCTTTTGTAAAGTATAAGCTCTGAATTCCAAGTACTTACTTATAGAGTAAGGGTCAGTTTTCCTGTCTTCCACTAGTGCCTGGAAAGCCTTGCTTAACCTTACAATAAAGTTATATATGTAAACTTTTTGCGGTAAGAACATTTAACTTGCGATCTACCTTTTTAACAATTTTTAAAAGGTACAATACATTATTGTTGACTATAGGTTACACTAGTTAACAAACATTGTTCAGCAAATCTCTACGGCTTATTCATCTTGCTTATCCTCTTTGACATAGTAACTCCTCATTCTCTCCTTCTTTCAGCCCTTGGTAAACACCATTTCACACTTTGATTCTATGAATTTGATTGTTTTAGATGCCTCATGTAAGTGAAAGCATGAAGTATCCATCTCTTATTTCACTTAGCATAATGTCCTTATTTCACTTAGAATGATGTCCTCCAAAGGTCATCCATATTATTCCTGGCATTTTTTTTTTTACATGGGGAAAAAAACACATTAAAATGTGATAATTTCTACAATGCAATTCTTAGATAAGAAAGCATACCGGGTTGGGTGCAGTGACTCAAGCCTGTAGTCCTAGCACTTTGGGAGGCTGAAGTGAGGGGATTGCCTGAGCCCCTGGATTTGAGAACAGTCTGGGCAATTGTAGAAACAGCATCTCTACAATAAAATAAAATTTAAAAAAATTAGCCTGACGTGGTAGTGCACGCCTGTAGTTCTGGCTACTTGGAAGGCTGAGGCAGAAGGATCCCCCGAGTTCAGCAGGCTGACGTTGGGGTGACTGTGAGCGTGCCACTGCACTCCAGCCTGAGCGACAGAGTGAGACTCTGACTCAAAAAAAAAAAAAAAGAATACATACCAGAGGATTCAAGTGTTTAATCCCTGTTTGCTTGTGTATTTTAAAAAAATTCTGAAAATGAATTTCAAAGCTGACAGACTCAAAGATCAGGACAGAAATATGAAAAGCTGGAGCTGTTTAAAATCCACGCTTTACAACTCAGCATTGCTCTGGGAAAAATAAAGGAGTCACTAACGTTCTCCCTTAGTGACAAGTTAAATCTATGCTCCAGAACATGCTGGTGTGTGTCAGGATCAGGTGTGAGTGCTGCGAAACCTCGGTCCAGAAATTTTTTTTTTTTTTTAATTTTTTAAAATTTATTTATTTATTATAACCATGGTCCAGAAATTCTAAAGAGGACGCTGCCGGTACCCTCCCGTCGCTGCTCGCCGTCTCTGCCTAACTCCGAGTTGTGGCACAAGGCTTGGACTTCTAAGGTCCAGGACATTTGCAACTGCAAAGGAGAATGCAACAACTTTCCAACTACCCTTTGCTTTAGAAGCTTGGCTCTTGGCGGCCACACCTCCCCAAGCGCTTGCCTGGACAACCGTCTCCTGCAGGGCGTCCGCGCCTCGCCCAACGGCTGCCACTGGCGCCCCCAAGCGCCGCGCGTCCCAGTCGGTCCCGGAGCCGCCTTCGACCTTCGCAGGATCGAACTGGCCCTGGGGAACCTTGAGGCCAACAGGAAAGGCGTCTCTTGGAATTCCCAGGGACTGGGAGGCAGGAAGCCAAGGAAGTCTCCCTCAAAGGCTCCCTGCCCCCGTTCATTCCTGTCGGAGATTTCCTCTTCGCAAAGAGGACAGTTGCCTGGCACGGTAAAGATGCCTACTCGAGTAGTGAGGATCAAACCCTTGGAGCGTACCTGCCACCCTCTCCCTCCCAGCCCCTTGGAGACGTAGACAAAAGCTTTGTGTGTGGCGGGGGCAGGAATGCCGAAGGAGACGAAAAAGACCCAAATGCCTCCGGAGGGGAGGAATAAGTTTATCTTTCCTGGTCTTTGTTCCTGCACCCCTTCCAAAGCCTCCATCCGGATCCGCTGGACACCCCTGGTGCACGCACGCACTGGAGGGCACAGGCTGAAACCAAACTTGCGCGTACACAGAACACAATATGAACGACGAACGCGCAGATGCTCAGTTCTCTAAAGCTTCTATAGGACTTCTCCAGCTCCCTTCGTAGAGCCAGGGGCCGAGGATGTGCAGGAGGATCTGAGACAGCGTGCCTCTCTCCATTTCCACATTTGCCCCCCGCCTGTTCCCAAAGGTCCCTCCACCCGCCGGAGCTGTCGTCAGGAATTAGGAGCCCCCAAGTTCCTGCGGGAGCGAATCTCCCCTTTTCAGTTGTGGGGTGGAGGAGAAGCGGAAGGGTGAGGAGAGGGAGAAGCAGGAGGGGAAACCGGGGAAGAAGAAGCAGCAGGGGAAGGAGAAGGGGGGCGGGGG